TCGATCCCCTACCGACGCACTCCCTTGCCTGCCTGTGCCAGAAATAATGCTGTTGAAGACGAAAGGTTGGTCATGAGGCTAGCAACCACATCCTGTAAAATAAACACTGCTTCGAAAAAAATGAAAATTATTTTTTCAATGGATGCTGTATTTTATCTTTGATTACAATGTGTTTATTATCTGGATAGGTTTGGCTTTCTAGGGACATTGTTAAGATCTTAAGTAATAAAACGGAAATGTCAGAACCACAGTGTTTTTAAAAATACGATGGTATACCGTCAATACCAGCACTACCAGAACTTTTAAGAGTATTAATGGCTTGGTGAATATTAGAATAAGTGAAATGAACTGTACTGTTTTTTTCAGCGTTGAAGAAGAAGGGAGTTCCATTGCAGATTGTAAACCGAGAAGTGGACTTGTGGGCTTAAGGTAGTTAGCTGCAAACGTCTCGTTGAACAGTTCACACATGTCTGCATGGTTGCTGTATAGCTTACCCTTGTTTATAAGGAGAGAAATTTTATGGCTTTGGCAATTCATTCGTTTCTTTAGGATTTCTGTGAGAGCACCTACTCTGGCGGTGCTGGCTAGTGCGGTGCATTCTTCATTTCTCATACGCAAGTTATGAGCTTGCGAGATGGAGCTAAGAGTACTAAGTATTGACCCTAGTATACTAAAGTCGTGTCGTCTGAAGTAACTTGTTTACAGTCTCTTCAGTTTTGAGCGATCTTTTGGTTGAATAAATTGCTTCTTAAATTTTGAGACTTTTACTGTTTGCAATGGGATCACAGCGTCTAAGCATGTGTTTGAGTTATAGTAGATGATGTCTAGAGCTTTCCAGAGGTTATCAGCATAGAAGTACCCTTTCCATTCTGAGGATCTTAACATTGATTTCACTAAAGTTCAGTCTGCCTTACTGTAGTTCCTGTATGTTATTTGTTGTAAAGTGGGGGTATGGGCTGCATTGCTACTTGGTGGAAGTGGCAGTGCACACAGCACTGTTTTGTGGTCGCTCTCTGAAAACTCAGAACATACTAGAGTAGAAAGGGGACTTATATTGTGGCAGAAGATTAAGTCTAGTACGTTATTACCTCTTGTAGGGGTAGTGACAGTTTGTTTCCAGCCAAGTATATCCAGTGTGCCTAAGAACTTATCAAATTTAGTTGGGCCTGTGGGTATATCCCAGTTGATTTCTGGTAAGTTAAAGTCTCCACATAGGATCTTATGATAGTAGTGTAGGGTGGATAATTGTTCCAGAGTATTAATAAGTTGGGTCTCGTAATTACTAAAGGCACCAGGTGCTCTGTAGGTGCATCCAATTAATACTATTGCGTTATTTAAGTGTAAGTTAACCCATAGAGTCTCAGGTATGTTAAGTGTACTGTTTTCTAGCTGTGATACAGCAAGTGCATTCAGAATGTACATGAGACAACATCCTCCTTTACCACCTTCCCTGTCACACCGAAAGTGTTTGTAGTTATCTAAGCTTATCTCTTCATCCAGTATGTTCGAATTACACCAAGATTCAGTGATGACAATTATAGGGGGTTTGTATATTACTGTGAGTGCTCTAAGCATTGGTAGTTTATTTAAAACAGATCTAGCATTTATGAGGATCAGGTAAGGATGAGATTTGAAATAGCATTTGAAGTATTTAAGTTCGTTAATCAGCCCTGAATATGGTTCAGCACCCGGTAGTACTGTTTGACATGACGACTCTATGTTAAGAGGAGTTTCAACATCATGCTCACCTATGTCTATCGAGTTGGTGTGTGCTGTTTTCGGTGAAGAATTAGGAGTTGGAGTACTGGATTTGTTACAGGCTAAGGCATTTTTATTTTTATTCAGGCTAGAAACGTAGGTAGGGCTCTTTGTTTGACCTATACTTGTGCAAGTATCAAGTGTGCTTAATGGATGCGGGTGCACTAGACTGCTCCTGTTTTCAAGCAAGAGGGGTGCCAGCACTAGTGGTTTAGGAGTGTTAACTCCCCTACCAGGTGTTTTTTCAACGCTGATAGGGACGAAGGGGAAAAATGATTGGGACCTTGTGAAGACCATGGTTTATTATTCCACCTATTGTTTGATACTAGTTGTGTCCTTGTATGGGTTTCGTGTGTACTGCATTGTGGGTTAGTTGTCAGCAGACTTGTACCATATATCCGATCAAAATTTGCTTGTGTGCCAGACAGTGAAGACACTGAGTTGTTGGTGGTCGAGTTCTGACTATTGCCACTTGCACTATTGAGGGTGGCATTGTTGTGACGTTGGTTATCAGTGTGTGCCATGGTGCTATTTCGCACGTTGTGAGTGCTGATACTATTGACCGTGGGAAGTGTGGGCTTATTTACTATGCCACTGTTGTTATTGGCATGATTTGGGGTCATATTTTCCTTTCATTACCAATGGAGTTATGGCTAGGAGAGTACAGTGTTGACTTTCAGGGGCTTTGACTTTTTTCTAGGATTGTTTAGTGACATGTCTAAATCTACGGTGATAGGTGGTATGGTTGTATTAGTTATTTGATTACGATTTAGTGGCCTTTCGGTTGGTGTCGCTATCTGAGAGGATAATTCTGTGTGGTTTGAGAGGTGTGGTGCGGTGGATTCTACGGTATCTCTCAAAGGGTTGGGTATAATGGCTGCTTGCAATGTCCTATTGTTTATTCCACAATTAGACTCAGTGTGATAATTATATACGCGCCTTTCTATGACTGTCTTGTCCACCGCAACCTTTATTAGTTTGTAATTTCTGGCTTGCGATAGGGTGTGTTGGGAGTGGATAAATTTTCTGGCCTCTGCCGAATTGAAAACGAATAGGACAACACTTTTCATGTTGACCGTTCTTCAGCCTGTAGCAATTAGTCTTGGAGTTGGGCATTTTCGCCTCACTAAGTAAAATGCGCTGTACCTTTTTAGTGCCTCACTGTCCGGAACGTTGTAGACAATAGCATTTAGTTTAGCGTCGAGTCGTTTTGTTACTTCTGTAGTAACAAAGTTAATGAGGTTATCTACCTTAGTTACCGATTCTGTGTCAAGTTTGTTAAGGTCTACAGTTTTCATGAGGATAGTTAGAGGTGTCACTTCACAGACCCACGATCTGGTATCACTGATCTAATCTGATAATTTAGATATTTTGGTATTGGTTTCAGAAATTCCAGGATTTACTTATTTATTGTTTTTTGTTTCCCTTAACTCAGCCTCAAGTTCTCCTATAGACAACTTTAGAAGTTCTCTTATTGAAGATAGTACTAAAACAGAGCTTGATGGTTGGAGTTTTTCGATAAGCACATAAGGTGTAGGTAGGGGTTCTGTATGAGAAGAGAGTACTGAATTTTTAGGAGTAGTGCTAATACTAGCTGTCAGTACAGATTTATCCTCAGTTCCAGCTCGACGCTTACGACTTACAAGTGAGTTATGTGGCTCACTACAACCGTTTGTATGGAGTGTGTTGCTTGATGTAGCAATCAAGGACGTAAAATCAGTCACCAGATTTACGGGGAATTGAGTTCGTTGCTTTTTACTTTGACTAACCATAACTATTTGATATGAGAGTTAATGGTTATAGGTACGGAGATAGTAGAGTACTTGTGCAAGGATTACAGTTAGATAAATTTTATGTAACGAATCACGCAAAAATGTAACGCAAACGTTGAACTTACCAGTCAGTGATGACTGCGGTTATTTTACTTCGAGTTTATACCCTCTGTCAAGCCTATTGAGACTACCTTCGGAGCACCGAAGCGTGTTGGAACCACCATCACCAATTACAGTGTACGGTAATATTGTTGTTTTACTCATAATAAAAGGTCCTTCTGTTAGTTTCCCACTTTCCGAGCCGGGGTAAGTTGCAACCGAATTTGTAAATGAGGGTCATATTGTTCAATAGAGCTACTGTCGACCATGAGAAGTGTAATATTTTTCACAGAACGGAGACATTTTCACCCCTTTTACCGAACCATTAGTTCACTGACAAATTTTTGAGGCCTCCTAAGGCATATGACATGACACTAGTTCGATATAGGATCAGTTCTCCACCCATAAAATTATGAGTGTCCCAGCAACGACATTTCCACGAGCCTTGCCCTTCTTAACCAACTCCCCTTTTTACCTACCACATCAATCCTTGGGTCTCAATCTTGTGTGCCCAAATGGATCAAGAGGTCGAACATTGAGCAGTCACCAAGTGCTCCGGTTTGTGAGCCGGAGGCATCTACTGCAAAAGTACCAACTGGTCGCCATATTATGGCTAAAGTGGACATCCCTATCATATTGACAGCCGAATAAAGAAAGCGAGGTGTAGTTTCGACGGCCAGTAAATGCACGTCAATGTTAAGATGCAAATCTTGAACATTTCTTTCGACATTATCCATGATGTGGAGAAAGTTGTTCATATTAAAATCAGCAATCAGTGTCAAAGCGTATCCAGCGGTTTCAAAACTATCCATACTTGCTCAACCGAACAAAAACACATTGCTAAAAATGTGCAAGCCCGATCACAATAACTTGAAAAAGAAAGTAGCCTAACAAAGAAAGTTTTTAGATCGAATCGACATCTGTTGGTAAATCGTCTATGGAGCCAAACTGTTATAAGCTTCGTGCAGTCCACAGGACTCTGTTTGAAGAAGAACAGTTGGAGCCCTAAGGAACATTCCAGGATAAGTCTACAATAGTTTGTGAACTTCTCGGATCTTGATAGGATGTTCTATTGGTCTACGACATGTCATATCACACACAAGCGCCAAGATGACAGGGAATCATCAGGGTTTACATTTTAGAGGGAAGAGGCCGACAATGAAATGGGGAATAGGCGGGAAGGTGATTCTCTAAATTTGAATTGCACGCTGTAAGCCTTGTATTTTCCGCTGTTTATTGAGTGGTGAATTAATGATTGATTGTTTGACTTGGTCCTGTAAACAAGAATGAAAGCCTTTACTTTTAGATTTTATTTGAATTCAGATTTGAACGCATATGTTAATTTGTTTGTGTTAACTGGTGTGGCGGTGACTCAATTGACCTGACCAGAGGCGGAACTTTGAGCCACGTTTGAATTCGTAATAATTATTCGGTTTGTTAGTTTTTTTGGTTGCAAACAGTGTTGTGACATATCTGCATTTAGCATCGTGGTGCACTTATTGGCGAAGTTAAAGTATCATGGTTAAAGTCAAGCTCTTTTAAAAGTTGACCTTCAAGAACCGATCAGGCAGGGAATGCTATGAAATATCATTCCAAATCAATTGATGTCTACCTTTTTGGACTTTGAAAGGATAGATACAGAATTTTACTTATTTACTAGGTCCTATTTCCGCAAATCGTTGCCGTCAGTTAGGATTATGGCGAAGTAGCTGTTTTAATAATTAATGAAATGCATACTAATGCGAATTCAGAGAAAGTAAAGACTGGTAACGTTAGACTGCCACGACCGAATGACCTTAAATTAACCTACGACACTGACCGTACGTTGAGAACGTCACAAATAAGAAGTTACACATAGGTATCAGACAGCGAATCCCATAAAATACTTTAAAAACACCCTCATTATTCCAAAGGTTTTATTATTATATCAATCTTACTATCCTTACATTTATTGTTATTCTCGTCGGAAAACTGGCTCCCAAATCGATATCTAACATGGTTGTTCTGATACCACATTTCATGTTACAACATGCTACCACAACCCTTGCACATTATTACAAGTCAAACAACAGTCGGGTTTGAGCAAAACACTAAAAAGCCTCACTTGTGATAAATACTTCATTTTCAGACCTGCTTACAAAATTTCAGTAACGTGTTCCCAATAACTTCAACATTCAGTCCAAACAATGAATACATGCATTTATCTGGGGACCGTGCTACCTAATGGATGTCGGTGTTGCACTAGGTATTAGAGCTGAGGCCAAGTTACATAATTGAGTGCCCATTAGTAGTCGGTTACGTAGTTATTTTGGGCCTTCTTAGAGGAAAAGCAGCTGACCAGAGGATCATTATCTAGACTCTGGTCGTGCTTTATTATGACCCACGTTTCTCCTGCGTCCTGGTGGTAGTCCTAGACATTGAGAGCTCACAAAGACCCTCGGAATGCTGCGTGTATAACTGATTTATCATGTCAGTATACTTTACTCCATACCATAGTACTCTCTGGTAAGGTAAAATTGGTCTGTCAAACGCAACGGAGGTCCAGAAGGAAGTACTCAAGCCTCATAAGGCATCTGGCTCAAATGACAGCATTACTTGAAGATGATGATCACTCAGGAAACTAATTTGATTGTTTGGGAAGGTATGGGAGTATGAAAACATCGCGGGAATGTGAGAGTACATAATCATGTTTGTAAGGATTTACGCGGGGCGTGTGGTAATCATTGGGATATTAGTCTGATGTCAGGCTACCGTCGTCATTATTTCTTGAGAAGTAGACTGGGTTTCATTTAGGTTATTAAGGCATCGATCTCATATTCATCCTGTGCTAGTTGTTAGAACACTGCCACATGTGTTGCAGACCAACTCGTTGCATTTTAAGTAAGAACCCTTTGATTCTTTAGACATGGCTATTACATTGAATTTTATGTTAGAGAGGTGTCCCCTAAATGACAGTATTCTAAAAGCTTTATACAGAATCGAATTCAACCACCGATTAACAACTTTCTGAATGAGCAATAGCGTTATCCACCTTCGCTATTTGTTAACAATGATATTCTGAGGAATATAAAGTTGTGATTAAAATGTACTACCTCGAGAAGTATAGAGTCGATATTATCCTGGTGTGGGATAACTTATAGACTATGCAAAATTGACGAACTCGGACTGACTCTGTGTATGATCATCTGTCTCCATAAAACCACCTATATCTATGTCTTCATTTTTATCTCTCAACTGTTTTGTTTCTCCTTCCCTTACAATGTAATTGTATTTTGTGTTGCTCATATCTGAATGCCTATACTGTACTAGGTTTGTCCTAATTAAGTACGTCACCACTGTGGGCGATTTTGAGCCAGTTCATCAAGAGACTGCATACACCGATTTTTACCATTTCTAGGAACTGGATATTTGTCTTTATCAGTGGAACTCTGAGTATGTCCTGTTCATCAAGGTATACGGTACATTCATTTTTCAGACCAATTCTTCGTGTGTTCATACCTGAGAAATATTGACGGAATTAAACTTTTCTGTTGTTTCATTTCCTTTTACTTATATTAGCTAAATTTGTTATGTAAAACCTAGACGTCTAAATTATATGGCTGTCACGTCTGCATGTTTCTGCCATGGATTTCTAACCAATCCAAAGCTATCTTCCGAAGTTCACTCACGCCCTTTTGGTTTTAAAACAGTAATGACCACATGCAGGTCTATACATTAGATTTTAATCTATCTATTTGCACTGGTTTACGATATCATGTCATCTCTACTTCATGTTGTATACTGTTATTGGTTTATTGGAAGGTGTTTCGACTTGGTCTTAGCCTCTTACACCTACGTCTAAAGAACACCCTTAGTTGTGTTATCATGTTCCATGTAAGTTATCCATAGAGAGCAGTGTGAGGGAAGTTGGTGCATACAAATTAGTTTGCAGTGGTTGACGATAGGAAATTAGGTAAAAGAGCTAGAACACGTGTTATACATGCCGAGCCATCGTCTTCCTCGTCAATCAATGTTAGCTGATATAGGATTAGGTTAGAGAAGAGGGTGTTGTCAACGCAAAATATGGAATCAGTCTATGTGACTTATAAAATGAGACTACTGAAAGTGCTGCACTTTTATGTAAAGTTCCACTTTGAAAATCTATTCAGTCTCCGGAATTTCACACCACCTGTAGTCGATTCACACTTGAACACGAAATGATTCTACTTGCTTCCCTCGAACCTAAGTCAGTTATTTCATGAGGGCAAGAAGATTGGTATGAGAAAAGAATCAGAAGTACATTTTTTTGTTTTAGGGACTTCATTCATTTATAACTGACTTCCAACGCCTACTTTGTTAAATTATCATAAACATCTTGGTTGAAATACTCTGGGCCCCAAGTCGGCGGCCTTTTTCAGTTTTTTTCTTAATTTCTTGCTTAGAATCATAGCCTGTTAGAAACGCATACTTTCCCCATTTCACCTCTTGTAATAGCTTTACTTCATCTCATATATTCCATCTCATATTCACCTGTTCACCTCTTGAGTTTCTTTCTGTTCGTTTTAGATTACTGTTGTGAAACCTTCTATTAGTTCCAATTGAATCTTTTCATCAACGTTAATTCTAAATGGATCAGACTGTGGACCATTCGCTCATAGAAAGTGAACGCGAGTATGTGGAATTCCTAGATGAAACGGTATATTGTCATTTTTAATATAAGACTTTTCTTAGGATGAATACAAAGATCGTATTAACTCCCTCATTACTCGTGATGCCATTCGCCTAATGATTAATGTCAATGATTTGCGTCGTCAAAATGCTGAAAGAGCTAACAAGTTAGTTTACTGATGTCAGTTATCATCATGTAGGCTTCTAACTAATTCCTGCTCGGAAATAGTCGCTTGTCAGAGAGCAGTTAAAAAGTGTATACAGAATGCAAATCCAGATTTTGCCAAGACAAAGCATGAATTCTTTGTGGGTTTTGAAGGAAGGTTTGTCTATTAAATAAAGTCACCGTTTCCTTTAGTTTTGGTCCTCGTCACGTCACACCTCGCACACTTAGTTCTAAACTTCTAGGAAATATGGTGTGTTTAGAAGGCATAGTGACCAAGGGTAAGACGATGTGCTCTTATTGTTTCTTTCAGCGTCATTAATTCGACCTAAAATTGTATGCAGTGTACATTACTGTCCAGCCACAAAAAAGACCATTGAACGTCGATATGCTGATTTGTCAAGTCTCGAACCATATCCATCATCTGGCGCATACCCAACCAAAGATGATGAAGGAAATTTGTTGGAAACTGAATATGGACTATCGGTTTACAGTGATCACCAAACTGTCACGATACAGGTTCGCAAATAGTATTTTTTCAAAAATCTGGTCTTTTGCAGGAAATGCCGGAAACTGCACCAGCAGGTCAGTTACCTCGTTCTGTCGATGCATTATTAGACAATGACTTGGTTGATGCTGTTCAAGTAAGTGCTACATTTTGTAAAATTACTAAATTTATTATTTTCAGCCCGGTGACCGTGTACAAATCGTGGGTTATTACCGATGCTTACCAGGAAAGAAAAATGGTTTCACTACTGCCAGTTTTCGTACTGTAGTTATCGCAAACAATGTACAATCCCTCAGCAAGGAGACTGGTCCGAGCTTCTCAGAGAAAGACATTAGTATGATGAGACTAATTTCAAAGAGAAATGTAAGTCATTTACCAGGTGTATAGCAATAATATATGTGACGCAGCTCATTGGCTCAAGTGCAGAAACTTGACTCAGTATTCAGTAGGTTACTTAATCGAGTCCAATCTCATCTAATTCAACCTGAGTTACCACCAACAAGTACTCACCCTCACAAATAAGTTGTAATGCATCTGCCATAACAGCTAATTGCATGGAATGTTTATTATACATTGGTTTCAAGAGTTCAGTAATTCCTGAAATTTCTTTCTTATTTTTAAAGACAATCATCTAATGAGCTTCCAAAGTGTATCAGTTTAATACAAATGATAAAGAGTTTCGCAATATATTTTGAATTCTAAATTTGTTCTCCGAAAAAGCATTACTAATTAGCTAAAGTCCATGAATTTTGCGTGATGATTAACGCTGAGGATCACTTTCAATACAGTTATATATCGTCTATCTGTTCAGTTGTTTTAGTACTCAGACCAAACTACATCTTATTATTGAGGACCAGAAACCCGTGATTATTTTTTGTTTCTCAGTCATCGAACTGGTAAAATAAAGTTGTAACTTGATAGATCTCTGTCAAAGCGAGATCAGTAGTTTCTGCTTTGGTTTGCAGGTACGTGACGACTTCGTCACTAGGTACTTTCAGTCCAGTCGCGGATTTTTCACCTGTTATGTTGTACACAGTGCATGAGTGCGTGTAAAAGATCATATGAACTGTGAGGCTGTGCTGTAGTCATATATATATATATATATATATATATATATATATATATAAAGTGTGGTGTTTGCATAAAGAGACCTCATTTAGTATATCACTAGTAAAGGTTTCTCATTTTTAGCAAAATTATGGATTTAAATGTGAAAATTTTAATGATGTGGCCCAAAATCGTTCATTAATCCTCATTTAATTATCCACGCTCCATATCAGTAATTATCTCTTTATATGTTGACGGTTTGGCAATTCCTATCTGGAAACTTAACATCAAGTTGTACTTTTTGTTACAGGATGTGGTGAATCTTTTGACTCGTTCCATCGCACCATCGATTTATGGTCATGAACATATAAAAAAGGCGATTCTTCTACTACTTTTGGGAGGTGTTGAACGTCAACTTGCCAATGGTTCTCGTATTCGTGGTGATATAAACCTTTTGTTAATGGGTGATCCATCAGTGGCTAAATCACAATTTCTACGCTTTGTTCTTCATATTGCACATCGTGCTATCGCCACCACCGGTCGTGGTTCATCAGGAGTGGGTTTAACTGCTGCAGTTACGACGGATATGGAAACAGGTCAGTTTTGTAATTTAGTCGACTTACTATCATACAATTCCTTTACAAAGGTTGGGTTGAGTATATATGTAGCATAAAGTCCACAAACTTTCAGTTGTGTCAGTGTACTTGAACTCTCCAGCGTTGTTAATTAAGCAGAAGCATTTTTCAGCATTTAGGTTGCAATGGGCATAATCAATTGTCGCGGTTCCGTTTTATCTTCTCCTCCCTATTCCACAAATTGCAGTGCTTCCTTGTGACAGTGACAGGTAAAAAGCTAGTTGTCAACAAGTCACATGGTTATACGACTGTTGCTGATTTGCATTTCACATCAAAACAAACGATTGTTATAGGTCTCATAACTATCCTGATGTAATCGAATTTATATTGTAATCTTACTAACATTTTAAGCAGTGGTTTAATATAAAATCAATTTATAAAATAACTTGTATAAACTATACAATCATAATAATAGCCATTGAACTACATATTACATTATCACAGGTGAACGTTCCCTTGAAGCTGGTGCCATGGTACTGGCTGATCGAGGCATTGTTTGTATTGATGAGTTTGATAAAATGTCAGACATTGATCGGACGGCTATTCACGAAGTTATGGAACAGGGACGAGTAACTATTTCTAAAGCTGGTATCCAGGCTAAATTAAATGCTAGATGTTCAGTTTTAGCAGCAGCGAATCCTGTCTACGGTAAATATGATCAATACAAGACACCGATGGAAAATATTGGTCTTCAAGTAAGTTCATCCCATAAACTTTTTTTTACATTGTGGTTTGTATTCACAAAAAGTAGACTTATGTTACATAGTTCTTCATGAGTAACTATATCAGTGACTGACTATTATTTTTCTTTCAGTCGTTAAATTAATTATGTTTTCAGAATTTTAAGCATTATAAAATGAAGTATCAACAATGAATACAACCATAGATTGACAACTCGCTTTTTCCGATGATAGGACTGAATTTCATCAATGACGAAACATTTGATACACTAAACGATACTTGTTTCTCAGTATCCATCCAGAATCCTGTTATATTTTAAAAAATGGTGTTGAACGTCATTCAGATTGTCTGAAAGCACAGTCTAAGTAAAAAGTATCATTGTGCGTAGTATTCAAACAAGTATCTCCATTAAACCAACAGTTCTGCAAAATAAGTTATTTGGAAATGAACATATAAATGACTATTAATCTATATTATTTATTGTACTTATCTTTTGTCCAGGATTCTCTGTTGTCTCGTTTCGACTTACTCTTCATTGTATTGGATAAAGCTGATCCAGAATCTGATCGTTCCATTGCTGAACATGTTCTTAGAATCCATCGGTATAGAAATCCAGGGGAACAAGAAGGAGAAGCCTTACCGTTACAGTGTGCTACTCATTTGTTGACCACAGGAGCTGATCCACTTTCTGCCGGACCTCGAGATGATCATGATGAAGAAGATGTTGAGCTTGACGGTACGCGTAGGCAAGAAGAAGATCAAGTGTATGAACAACAAGATGAATTCCTGTTACCTTCTCGTGGTCGAAAACAGTAAGTACTTTAATAATTCCGTCATTCGTACCTCAGTGGGAATAAAATATTCACACGTATGATGAGTAATAGTATACAGATGTAACTGTCTAGTGCTGTGGTTTAGTGGTAGAATGCTCACCAATCATGCACGACTACCGGCTGACGCACTCCTTAACCTCTCCCAGTTTGCCAGTCGATAGTAAGCTCGGGAAGGTCGGGAAAGAGGCTAGTGACTCCATCCCTGTAAAAACAACAACAACACTGCTACTGAAACTTCAGGGCCTCCAAACTGAAGCCCTTTATTTCAATCGAAACTCAAAGAAATGAAAAAAAGATGTAAATGTCCAGAGACTAATCAGATATATTATTTGACTTAGTGTCACTTGTTGTTCAGATTATCTTTAAGCATTTTTACTGCAATGTTTCTATAGCCTAAAAGAGTAGATGAAACAGTGTTAGAATTTAGAAAACATGAGAAGAGAACATGTGGTGCATTAGGATATACCTATCTTATTGTCCGTAAGTTCATGGCTATGTTACTTTAGGGCTTCCCACCTACTCATTATTCGTGTTACTATTAACATACACTAGTGAGTTTATTTCTATGTAACTGAAGTCACTAATTTCTAAATTCATAGACTAATGTCTGCTTAATTCACTCATCCTTGTCTGTTTTCCAACATTTCATAATTCAAAGTACCATCGTAATATACTGGCATAATTAGTGACTAGCCTGTGTGTAAAATAAGTGTATCTTTAACAATTATGCACTAATAACTTACATCTTTATTTAAATTAGGGATCAACTTACTATGAAGTTCCTGCAGAAATATATTCACGTAGCACGACAACTAAAGCCTCAGTTAACCAAAGAAGCAGCATCTATTCTGGCTGAAAAATACTGTGACCTACGAGCTCAAGAATCGTCTGAAGGTATTGGTCGACCTGGACGTGGTGATCAAAATCGTATGCGTCGTACTCAACCGATAACAGCACGTAGTTTAGAAACATTGATTCGTTTATCCACTGCTCATGCTAAAGCTCGTATGTCTAAAACGGTAACTAAAAAGGATGCAGAAGCCGCTGTCCAATTGATATCATTTGTTCTGTTTAAAGTAAGCGTATTAATTATAGTCTGCTCAACTGTTTTGTGATCATTTTTTCTCACTTCCATTGACTTTTCTGATTGATTACATCCATATGTTTAATGTTCATTCGAGTCTGAATCCCATGCTCTTTACCTTAGTTTTGTTTCAAGTTTGCCCACGAATTGATATCAGTTAGAGAACCACTGAAAACCTGCAGGGAGTAGTGGACACCCTTTTCGTCTCAGTTCAGGACTCTTAAGCAGTACGCACCTACCGGAGTTCGAACCTAGGACCATCCGGTTACAAGGCAAGCTCGTAGGTCATTTAGCCACTGGGACCCGATTTAATGGCCCATGAGTTATAACCTCTAACAATTCGTGGTTTTTGCGCGACCACCAACCAATGTCATTGGTGAGTATTTGTCCTCACACCCAACCTGGCGGACCCAGTGTGTAGGTACTACCAAAGAGTCCCAAACTATGGCGAAGCAGCTCTCCAGTACTCCCTGGTTTTTAATAGTTCTCTAACAGACACCATCCGTTATCAAACTCGAAACAAATCGAATCCTGTCAAACTAAAGTTATGTTTTGGAACTGTACTCTACCACAGTGCCCAAATTTTATCCTTTTGTCACCGAACATTACGTGTAAGTCATTGCCAATTGAATGAACATGCATTCGAAGGATGGTATACACCTTTGTATATTACTTCGTGGAGTGTTTCTATTTGTTTACTGATTTTTAAAATATAAGATTCGTGTTTTTTAGCTGTCTTCGCTTATGACATCATTTCCTACTTACTGATATACGGATATACCAGTGAGTTGATTCCTTTAGAATTCCATATTTGAAATTTGATCAAAAGAAAGAGTTGTGATGTTGAACACTCATTTTAAGTTATAGAGGATTGAGAGTACTTAGATGAAATTGTCGAGCTGTGAAAAAAATTTCTTCTATTTCATCACGTTAAACTATTGACTTCCTAAATAGGAAGTTGAAGTGTATTGAACTTTTTATGGAGCCTAATCTGAATCAAAATCGTGTATTAAACAGAACTTCAGTTGAACCTGCATAGCGATGTGCGCTTTTAAAGCCCTCGCAACCTACGTACCATACGCTGATCTTTCAGAGTATTCATGTAAATATTGTTCTTATTGAGCCTTCGCTTTTCTGGCCTTCGGTGTTCTACTTGCAGTCACTTAGAATTCACTTGGTATTTTTGGTAGGTCTGTGTGCTGCTGGGTTGTGTTCATCTAACTTCATTGATAGAAGGCGCCCCCAGGACACGACACTTGTAACCGACTGACCACTTGAAAATATCTCCAACACTGAGATAGACACAAAAGTCACACTGCGAAAAACGACTACCGGAACGACAACAACCGCGTTTGGTAGACGAAATACCTGGTATATTATATTCACAAACCTTCAGAAATCTAAGCCATAACTAAAACAAATCTGATTGGTTGCATGACATTGGAATCCCTCAGGAAAATAAACGAATCAAAACTGTCCAGTAAGGTTATCATGTCAGTACATGCATAAATCATGAATTTACGGTTAACAAAGAAACTTGTCAGTCCCAACACCTCCCTTATTAGTTCTCGATTGGGGGGACCACTGGAAGATCTTTTGTGTGTAGGTCTATGTACTCTCCGTTTATGAATGCTACATTTTATCTAATTTCTTTTTGGTTTCGCTTAGTCACATGGTTTCGTGTTGTATTCTTTGGAGTAGTACCCTCTTAGCCTTCAACCTAGTTCGAATGTATGAAGGAAAAATAGAAACATAAAATACTAAAGATTGTTTTTAATTGATATTGTGCTTTGACGTTTATTTATGCATTTTAACGTGTCGTTATTTCAAATTGTTTTGTCAGGAAGTACTTGAGAAAGTTCGACGTAAACGTGATCGTAATGTAGATGATGACAAAGACTCGGACGATGAAAATGTTGACGAAGAGGATTCTGAACGCACAGTCCCACAACAACCTCCGAAACGAAGGTATTTTATCAGCAATTCGATGCATTGCAATTAATAGTGTTCTCTGAGCTCAGAGAACACTATCAATTGCAAATCATCCACCTGAGCTAAAAATCTTCTCTATTAATTCCATGCATCTCTCGATTGTCTTCACACCTAGTATTTATTCTTAATTTCATCTCTATTACTCACTAATTTATCGTGTTGCTCATCAGGCCTCTGTATCAACAAATGGAAGTCTTCTTCCAAGGCCCCTCTACTTTTGTTTAGTGCTTGGTTTGAGGATTTATTTTGAAAATGTATGCACTCCAATGTTTCCTAACATCGACGTAGACTACGACCGAAATATTACGCTGATAAGGGCTACCTAACTGTTTGTCTGATGAGAGTTGTCTTTCGCGAGTCGAAAATGATGGTCAGAGCGCAAAATTTGATAAATCGTATTACCGTTTCTTTTCATTCTTTCTTCCACAGTTGTTACTTCATTTCCGAGTTTTTACGCATAATTCTTACTTTTGTTTTGTGACGTCACGCGTAATGAAAGACTCACATACTTCGCTGATACTAAGTAGCCATTATAGTCCTACAACAAATCAATCGTGAGCTCTAGTAGCTCAGTGATAACATCTTCGACTGTAGCACTGGGTGACCCGAGTTCAAGTTTCACAAGGGACGTGAGTTCCTTCAAGATTGCAGATACCCCTGCTGACAATTGCCAGAAAGCACGAAACTGAAATCCGAAGCTTCCTGCCGATTGCCTCCAATTCAAAGTGCACCGTAATGGCGAACCACCTAGCATAGTGACCATATTGTAAACTTGACTGATAGAATTCAGTCTGTACCAAACGAAGGACTAGACGCATGACATTAGTTACTACCTAGTATCCACTCGAAGTACTGTTACCATATTTCTGTCTCCTTCAGTGTATGTGGGTTTTTTTTACAACCGAATGCTGTCTGCATTTCCCTATCTTCCCGGAAAGCTCAAAAGCATTATACTAACATAATTAAGTAGAATATGAAATAATGCATAAATCACCATTAAGATATTCGATGTTTGTAGTAAGCTTTTAAATTAACTGTGAAATAATTGAAAATACTGCACATGTTTGAGCTACTTAATAATAATAAAGCCTTATTTCAGACAGTATGTTAACATTTATTACAGAAATTTTCAGCGTATTTAGTCCCAAAATATTTCCTAATCATACAGGATTTACATCTAAAATAATCTGAAATATATCACGTGACGTAGTTATGTTGCATATGGAGAGAGAACCAGTTCTGTGCATTTTTTCTTTATTTCCTTCAAGAATCGCACAGAGTTTGGTGGCAAAGCTAATTAAATATGCTCGCGAGTTCATGTAATAGTCAATCATTATAATTGCACGATTAAAACAATAAGAAGTGTAGAAGAGTTTAAGCACTTTGATGGATGGAAATTCTGGTAGTTCATTGACTTAAGCAGGCCTCCTCGAGATTATGGTAGCATTTTTTATCGTCATTCCATTAAAGTTCAGTGGTGATTATTCATATGAAGAAATATTGTTTTCAGTGAAACATTGGTTTCTTTCATTGTTGACCTTACATTTATCCGGAATTAGTATCTACCGCAACTAGTACTTTTATTTAGTCTACTTTCAGTGTCAACTTTATATTTGTGCACTCCTTCTTTTGTATGGTACTTTCATTAACTCGTCTTTCATGGGTTGTATTCACACTCTTATTGTATTTTCAATTCAAGGCCTGTTGATACAGAAAGTGCTTCTGCTCCTGATCCCAACGATCCATATGCCTTTGCAGAAGACCCTAGAGTAACTAGAACTGAACCTTTGGCAGAAACTGTCCCTATATCTTCAGCTTTGCATCAAGAGCGTGCAGCTCAGATATCAACAATAGTTAGTCGAGTATTTCAGGAACGCCGTGTCGAGCAGTTAACTGTATCTGAGGTTAGTTTCTAAATTGTTTTATTCTGAGTAAGCGGGATACTGGTTGTTATTAACGTAAAAGCGTGTCTACTTCTTATCATGTTTTAAGAATTACAATAGTTTCTTTTCTTTGAAATTATTATTATTCTCCTGGGTCCCGAGGGCTTCAACAGCGCATCTCCGTTCCACCCTAATTTCTGCAGTCTTCTTCATTTGCTTCCACGATTGCCCATAAGCTCTCATCTTCTCACACGATCTTCTCCACTTCATCTTTGGACGCCCAACTCGTCGATTCCCACTTGGGTTCCACTTGAGTAATGTCACTCAGCGGTCCTCTGAGAGTACGTCTTGTCCATCTCCATTTTATTCTGCATATTTTTTTAGTGATAGGTTCTTGGTTGCGAGAGTTCCTCGTTGCTTATCCTATCCATCTACTATTCAGTATCGAGTCAGTGAAGGCAGCCATTGATGAAAGTCTGCTATAGCCTCTTAGAAATGCTTCCGATGATGGGCTAAGTCCTTGAAATTATGACTTAATATTAATTCATGCTACCATTGTTGATTATTTTCTAATTCATGGTTAATAGTTAACTTTATTACCAACTCATAATAGAAAATATCTAGAGAATAGGAAGTTTCGAAGATTTAAAGTATTAGACATAATAATACTTGACCATATCACAGCCTAACTATACTCTTGTTTCTGTTACTTCAAAATGTATTTGACTAAATAAGCATTGTAGACTCAGTCGTAAAGCGAAAAGTCTGAGATACAAATGTTAGTTTATTGCTTACAGCTGATGCGTAAGGGCTCACTATGCATGCATACTTGTCAACTAGGTCATATGTGGTGGTGTTATGGAGTTTGAAGCTGTGACCATCTGGTTAGTAGTAGTTAATCACTGCAACTAACCAGTGGTAGTCAATTACAGTTGCTTAAATTTCCAACGTATCCTTTGAGTTAAATATTTTAAGTGAAGTTACCTTTCTATTTCGAGAAAATTACTCAAAGAAGTTTTGCTTTCTATTTGCTCGTTTTTACGTTCGATCACTTTTATTCTGCATTCTTCCTGTTTCACGCGTCTACCCTTTCACCCTAGTAGTAAGAAAACATTTTTCTCATCAAATTAATCTGCATTTAACTGTTCATATGATATAGGTATATTGTTTTGACGTGTGTCGATCAAATCTTCAGTATAATGAGATAGATATTTGAGCAATAACTGACATTGAAAACATGTACTGTCTTTATGCGACATTGTAGTTGTTTGAGCTAATCTGCTGTCCACAGGAAATAAACGTTGTTAGGTTTGAACTATTACATAACTTTTGTCTTGATGAGTTCCCAAAGTCACTTCTCTGCGGCCCGATCGATAACTGCTCTACATTGACGTGGCAGTCGGCATATCACCATGATTCAATGAGCTACACTGGCTAGAACTAATGTTCCTGCAGGTTCTGTCATGCCAGAAAAGTTGTTAGAATAGTGGTTAAACTAAAAGCACTTACCAGCATGGTGTAAGTTGCTCACACTATGTTGAGTGTTCGAAGACGAAATAGTACTGCAACAACAGAAGGTAAGATACGGAAGCCAAGGTATATTTCTCATTGATCAAACCGCTGCTTATAAATACATGTACAGTTTACATTCTTTAACCAATCACTGAGTATGTGATTTCGGTTTACATCAAACGACATAAAATATAATGTTCAAATATACATAGTATTGTGTTGTTAATGCAGTATATAACTGTTGGAAAAGTATTCTGTCTCTAACATCAAATAGAATGTTCAAATAGATATATTGTATTCTGTTGCCAATGCCGTATTGAAATGTGAGAGTATGTGAGAATCATATTCCATTGGCACACATTTTCTGTATCACACCACCACAGTGCTACTGGCGAGTAGGGATGTAACAGCAATAAACGTATTTCCTTCAAATTACCAGCAAGTCAGCTATGTTTTCTCCTCTCAGAAGAGGTGGGTTTAAAAAGGTCGACCCTGAAAATTTCAACAATCCGTACTTGTCGGTAAGATCTTAGTATGGACATGAGTACAAAAACCAACTCAAACAGAGCGGCCTCAATCAGTTGCCTCTGGGCTCTACAGCTACACACAACACTAGTGCTCTTTCTGTTTCAGATATTTCAAGAAAACAAATCGGTCAGTCTTCTTCTGTGTAATTTTTCATTCTATTGGCCTATCTCGTTTTCCATCCGACTTCTGTTTAGTGGAAGATTAGAATTATTCTCACTCTACTTATAAAATTTTAATTTTGCGTATATGCATGATTTATAAGTGTTAAATAAATACTACTAGTTTTTCAATGAAAACTTTGCAAACAAATTAAGATGATTCTTTTTGATTCTTGTTGCTTTCCAAAAATGCTTTCAATTCACGAATTGCATGTGTTTGTTACTCTTGTAGATAATCACTGCTGTACGATCTCAAAACTCTGGATTTAGTCAGTCGGATATTCGAGCTGCTTTGGAGTCTATGCATAGAGATAATCGTATTATGCTTGCAGGGGATGATGTTTGGCTCATTTGAATTTCAAGACAAATATGGACCATTCTTAAGATTTTTGTTTTACTGTCTTAACATATGAGATAATTTTAACTCTACAGATTTCATATAAGTGTATTTATACAAGCGATACGATTTTTATTGGCAATTCATAATACATGTTTCATATATATATATAATGTTTACTGTTTTGATCCAATGTGCTGTTATCGTCTGACCAATGAAGTTAACTATTTTCATGTGTAAAGGGAAAGAACTTCAGCAATATGTCTAACGAACTCTTAAGTTCTGATACGTTATTCGCCTTAATCACTACTCGCCTGTTGCTCCCTTCGCACGTATTTACCACTTGGTTGATGAATTTAGGACTTTATGGCACCCAGCCGAGTAACATTTCTTCAATTTCTTTCCTGGTATCATATATTTGTGATTATAATAAATAAAGGGCGATTACGATCCTACTTCAGGCAGTATTCAAGGTGCAGTTATGCAACGTTAATTTTGTCTAGCGAGGAGTCCCCATTAATGTAAATTAGCTTCAAATCCCTCTGCACTTTTCGTGACTAAATTAGCCGTTTATTATCATAACCCGTCACATGATAAGTGTGACTTTTCGTCAAGTGCATTAGACTGACTAACTGACTGAGTTTCAACTCAGAATTTTGCACAAAAGTGCAGCAGTTCAAGTTGCCCCAATCCACATAGTACACAAACGTATAGAAGAAAAAATTTCAAAAAAACTTTAATAAACAGAAATATACGGAAGAAAGAATGATAACATGCATAATTATGAAAATGCAATAGATCTGGAGGTTAAAAAGAGAAGCAGGAATGCATCTACGCCACTGAGAACGATTTTGAGCCATACCATAAACAGTGCATAGTCACTGGTCCTTGGTCCTTGGAACACGCAGTCTATACCAACGGTAGACCACCGCCTCATGGTGGTGGATTGATGTCTTGTTTTGATTTGACCACCCTTAACTCTATTCCAACCTAATCCTATGTAAGCTGCCATTGTTCGTCGAGGAGGTAATGGCTTAGCATGCCTAACACGTATCCTAACCATCTCAATCGATGTAGCTTTATAACCTAGTCGATTGACTTCCCTTCCTTAACTAGCACTCTGTGCCGAAACTCAGCAGTACACACCATCCTATACTGCTTAACACGGCTGATAAAATGAGGACATATTTAGTCAACGACAGCTAATGTTTTCATATCTCCCACTTTCAATGGGTATGTCTCACAGACATAAACAAGAATAGAGCGAACTGCTGTTCACTACACAAGTCTTTTGATGGATAACCGGATATCACATATGTTCCTGAGATGATGTAAGTTGGCAAATGCCACACGGGCGTTTTGTATCCGTCGTGAGACTTTTTTAGCAACAAGTCCGTTAACGTTGGGGTAACCTCCCAAATAAGTGAAGTAGTCAACATCCTCAAGCACTTCACTCCCTATCGTTAAACTAGGATTCGGAACTGACCAGACTTGTAGCATCACCTTACATTTGGCAGAGTTGAATCTCATGCCAAACACACTAAGATTTACGCTCGAGGTATTCAGAAGCCTCTGTATTTTGTTAGCGTTTACACCTAGAAGCACAGTATCATCCGCATACTTTAAGTGGATGCCACTGCACCCTGGTAACAAGTCAATCCTTAAGTCGAGTAGGATCACAACCATTAGTAAATCTGATAAATTAAAAATAGGAATAACGGACACCAGCGTTTCTCACCTTTTCAGGTAACAAAGCAGCTCTAACACAGCTGCTTGAGTTAGAGTAATGGGTATTGATTAGTATGATATCATTGTCGGCGCTCCCTTTACAGCCAACTATTAACACAACTATACGGATCAGAGACTTGCACTGCGTGTCATAAAGAGCATCTCCAACAAACTACAGACCTTCATTAACAGTTGTCTTCTCTCAATACTCAAGATCAGATGGCCAGAAAAGATCAGCAACAGGGATCTTTGGGAACGAACCAACCAGGAACCGATTGTGAAACAAATAGGCAGGAAGAAATGGAGTTAGGTGGGTTGGCCATACTGTGAGGAAACCATCAGGTGACATCACTAGACAAGCCATTGCTCGAGTGGAACCCGAAAGGGAAGCGGCGAGTTGGTCGTCAGTGCAAGAGTGGGTGACTTGGAGGAGGTCATGTGAAGAGGAGATGAAAACATGTGGGCAGACTTGGAGCCAGGTGAAGACCCTAGCAGAGAACAGAACGCAATGGAGACGCACGGCTGAAGCCC